AAATTTAATTCAAACAAACGTTGATATTAAAATAAATATATAATAACAAATTCGTTACACAACTTATACAGACCAGAATAGCAACTCGTACATGTATGTCCGATCATACACTACTAGTCCAGGGGCCAAATATCGTTGCCATGCACCCCTCCCATAACAGTATGAAAGGGGTATATTTTTGTTCCTCGGAGTCTAACGATCAATATAAGCGATGTTAATAACAATAAACTGGGTTGAACTATTTGTTTGGCCTGTTTATTCATAGGTGGGGTCTTTCCGCTCTTTATCTGATTTCTGGCGCTCCAAAAACAAGGGATCATGTTAGTTCCTGACCTCATATGCTTATTTTTATAAACTCTTTCATTGAAAGCATTATACCGGATAAAGGTGCAATAAATTTCCTTTCAAGTGATGTATTATATGTACATATGTTTTAAAAAAATCACATTAACTGGATTTCTGAAAATTGTACATAAAAATTGCGTATGACCATTATATGTGAAAAAAGTAAATATTGTTATATCAAGTCTGTATTCTAAAGATGTTTTCTTCCCATGTATCGTTTGAATATGGTTCCTTTGTGAAGACATGCCTTCAACCTTTTTAAAAATACCCAAAAACTTTGGTTTTCAGATGAATATTTGCATTTTTAGGTGAAGTAAAGGGCACTTACTCTGGACTTCCCATATGCGTGTTTTTGAAGCATAGCGATGGTTCATCATCACACTAAGCTAAGTGTTCACAAAGTATTCATTCCTGATTGTAAAATTTTATTACAACATAATAGTCACTGCATGTAACAAAGTAAACAAAATAAAAATCATTTCAACATCTGACGCAAACAAAAGTTCTTGAATGCTGTACGAATGGAACAAAAGCGTATGAACTGAAAGTGAATTCAAGGATCTGATCATCTTATACTAGTATCACAGCAGTATTAATATTCACAAAAGTATTCACTTCAGAATCTAAAGTTATAATACAACAAAACAGTCAATGTAAGTAACAAATATAAACAATAATTAGTCATTAGTCATCAGATACAAACAAATGTACTCGACTAGAGTACACCACAAATGAAGAAAATGAAACAAAGTTAGTGTATTGAAACTAAATTGATGAACTAGATTTACATAAATCACAATACTGTAAATATTACATGTACATGAGCAATGGTCTACGTATAAGTTCTGTGTACAAGATTTCATATGTACAAAACTTGACAGGGAACTTAATAATCCTCACTGTCTCTGTCTGAGACCAAGCCATCTGACTCAATGTCACCATCATCTTTGTCATCGTCATCTTCATCAGAGTAACTATCATCTTCACTCGATTCAACTTCTTCGGCCAGCTCTGATGGGAACATGTGTCCATCAAACCACAGATGCTCAAGTTTTCCATTGATGACTGTCCATCCGTGGGCTTCTGATGGTGGTGGTACATCTGGTTGAGAGACATTGGCGCACTTCCAGATTCTAACCTGATAATTCACTGTCTGATATGCTGACGTAACACTTTCTGACATGGAAGTAGCTGACTAAGGTCGATATTGTGATTCAGACTGACACTTCCATCTTCACCCCTACATTTCTCCTTGAGAATGGCGAAACGCAGGTCATCAACACTTTTGAAATGGGATTTTCCGTACATTACGCATGTCAGTTCTTCTAAACCTGCCTCTATGTCACCAGGATTCCCATCTTCGCCTAGAACACTTTGGAAGGCAGGCATCTTCTGCAGCAGTTTGGTTGGTCGCACTTTACCAATACCCTTGAAGGCACTTGTTGTATCAGAATGTATGAAAGCGTGCAGAACCATCAGTACTATGCAAAATTCTTGGCCATATTCATGAACTAGTTCTGATACATTAATGAGTCTCTTATTGTTTCCTGTGCCTGTATCAAACAGAATAATGATCTGGAGTTGCATTGCATGATGTAGAGCTATGAATAATATATCTGTATCTGGACTTCTGATGTGGACAATTTCATATTCATGATCCTGATCATAGACACAGTACAAAATTCCTCATGTGTCAGTTTCCGCTTGGGTTTAGTACAATGTTGGCAACTCCGTTCTCAATGTTGTTCTCTCATCACTTGATTCAAGCATGTAGCAATGGCCCTCAACGACTGATATCAGTTTTCTGTTTCATAGAGAATGGCAATTAGCTTTGTGTTTGTTTTCACTGTTGAGAATGAAGTTCCTCCAGTTTGCAGGTTTTTTTCGTCATTTGGCCTCGGATGATCAATTTATAATTGCAACCACGTCTGTCTCGTTCTATTTGTTTGATTGATCCTTCAATACTGAATACCAGATCCATCTTCTTCGGCAGGCTATTGAATATTCTATGAGACATATCTGAAGTTTTCAGGGATTTCTATCAAGGAGTGGAACACAGCATTACCATCTACAACCAAAAGTGTTGTCGACTTAACAAGGAGATTGACATCATCAACTTCCTTCATTAGATAGTGAAATGCTTTAGATTTATCGGTTTTTGCCAAATAACCACCAGCAGTACCAATGTTGTAAGGGTCAGGACTTAAAGGGTACTTCATCAGTTCTTCAACACCAATGGTTTTGTTTGATTGGGACTTGACCAACAGCTGAATCGCTACATTGCTGTGTTGTTTGTAGGTCACGACCTTGTTTTCTGTGGTTTTGAGTTTCACAGACTTATTTATGTTCTCCATTGTTTCCAGTTTAAGTTTCTTCACTTGGTCAAGTTATAAACCATAGAACCACAGACAGCTCAATGCCTATATGAACGGGCTTAAAACACGCATATGAGAAGTCCAGAGTAGGTGCTCTTTACTTGACCTAAAAACGCAAATATTAATCTGAAAACCAAAGTTTTAGGTATCTTTAAAAAGGTTGAAAGTATGTTTTCACAAGAGAGCCATATTCAAACTTCTTTAGAATACAGACTTAGTATAGCAATATTTACTTTTTCTCATATAACGGTCATACGCAGTTTTTATGTACAATTTTCAGAAATCCAGTTAAAGTGTTTATGTTTTTAAAATATGTACATATAATACATCACTTGAAAGGAAATTTATTCCACCTTTATCTGGTATAATGCTTTCAATGAAAGAGTTTATAAAAATAGACATATGAGGTCAGGGACTAACATGACCCCTTGTTTTTGGAGCGCCAGAAATCAGATTAAGAGCGGAAAGACCCCACCTATGAATAAACAGGCCAAACAGATAGTTCAACCCAGTTTATTTGTTGGTAGCAGCGCTTATATTGATCGTTAGACTCCAAGGACCAAAAATATACACCTTTCACACTCTTATGGGGGGGGGGCGTGCACGGCGACCATACTTGGCTACTATCTTCTCTGTTAATAATCGAGCATTTACCAAATAACTACTTCGTTCATGTAGACAATAATATAAATATAGAACAGGATGCAAATATTTTGGCCAAGATTGTAGGTACAGGCTGGAAAATCGTTAAATGAAAGCGGTGGCGCAAAGTATACATTTTAGATGTGTTTATTGGTCCTAAAATTAAAAGGTATTATGAAATACGAGAATATGGGGCAACTGCTCCCCTCTCTCTCCAAATGGCACCCCTAGATATAGCATTGCTATTGTATGTCTGCCTGGAGATGTCTGTCAACGCGACAATGGTGACTACAAACTTAACCTCTACACATAGAATCTTCCGTTATGGGAAGGTCATCTAATATAAGAACCTGAACTCATAGGATGTTTAATGCACTTCGTAAGGACAAGATTAATTGGAACAGAAGTAATGAAAATACATATTTTGCCCTACATAAAGTGAGAGAATGGCCTTTCTAAAGCAATTAGTGAATGTTGTATAATGTGTTCAGCAATCACGTATCACAGAAAATTAACAGAGTTGCAGCCTGTTATTGTTTCAGTTACTTTCCACTTTTTACTATTTCCTGCCATCTCTTCAAAATACGTAGCAGGATGATATAATATAAATTTAAACCTCATGACTTGTGGTACACAAAACTCTGAAACCACAGACACGTAGATGCTGGACACATAGTTTAAGCATTCCATTTGCAATGAATCGTCAGATAGTTAATTATGTCATAATAAAACTTGTAACGTTTTTAACGAACTGCTTGCATAAGCTGTAATATACGGTTAACGAAGTATTTTAGAAGCGCAAAGTTGTACAATGGGTTAGCTGTATTGTGCTCACCTCATGGATCACATCCCGAATTTTAGCTTTATAAGCCTTCAGACTTACCGCTGAGCCTGGAGGACAAGGTCAACGAAGCTTTAAGGATAACAGTTTTTTAGTTTGTTTTTGGAATTTCGCGCAAAGCTACACGAGGGCTATCTGCGCTAGCCGTCCCTAATTTAGCAGTGTAAGACTAGAGGGAAGGCAGCTAGTCATCACCACCCACCGCCAACTCTTGGGCTACTCTTTTACCAACAAATAGTGGGATTGACCGTCACATTATAACGCACCCACGGCTGAAAGGGCGAGCATGTTTGGTGGGATGCGGATTCGAACCCGCGACCCTCAGATTGTGAGTCGAGCGCCTTATCCACCTGGCCATGCCGGGCTTGTTTTTTAGTGGTTTGTAAACAACATTCTTTTCCTAACTTTTTCTTTATGAAATCCTGTACTGTTAGCCTAATTCTTAAAGCACTATATTGTTAAAATGTAATAAAGAAACATGCTGTTTAATCTACAAAAAGATGTATATTGAGAAAGCAACACTTTAAAAACAAACTCTTAAAGATTTTACATAATTTTTTGTTAGGACTAGAGCAACAGTTGATAATTTTTGCAAATGTCATACTTAGGTAAAAATTTTAATCAGCTTTGCATTTGAAAATGACTAGAATGATTCTCTATAATTTAGTTAAATATCATAAAAGGATATTCCAATATGTCTCACCGAGTTAAAACAATATTGAATCATTTCTTTGAACGTCATACCCAGGTAACGATTGTCCCGAATTTCGTGTAGTAAATGACCACAGTAACTTCATCCAAGAAAGAGTTTATAGGAAAGCCAAGCTTTTAACCGTACCTCTTCAGAAATCATGTGACTTTACTGGAACCCTCAGAGCAGCAAATGAATCTCTCGAGGAATATCGAAAAGGTAGATATTTAAAGATTATTTTATAAAATATCGTGAAAACTAGTGTGTAAGAATTTCCTGAATAATATGTTCTTTTATTTTGTAACTTGAATTCCATAATCAAAATTATATATATATATATTTAACTAATGTAAATTTTACTTAATATATTAAAGAATAAAAACAACAGGATGTATACAATCAAACATCTTGGATGAGAAAACATTTAACTGAAAGTTCTAGTTTGCTGAAAAATTGAGTAGTATGTGGTTTTAAAAATGTTACATTTTCTTAGGAGGGAACGAACGAAACAGAAAATTCTATTCTGTTACGCCTCTTCTGACACAAATTAATCATTCCCTTCCTATCAAGTCACATGATCCATGGTGTAAGATGGGATTCACTGTGAAGATGTATGTGCCGCCATACTTAGGAATTCCTCCAACACCTATTAACGTAAGGAAGCTCTATTAATCTCCCAAATCGTGAGTGATTTTACTTGGTAGAGTTTAGAATACATAAAATACCATTTACAGATTCATCCTCATAGAAAATATGACATGATTGAATATTGTGTTTTAAAATCTGAGAAACAACTTAATATGTTCTGAAAGCAAGGAACAATAAAATAAACATGGATCTTCTATTACTTTCTTCGTACAATGTTTTAACAGCAACTAAAAAGTCGTTCTTTCTCAACTATGTGATAATCACTTACATAGTTTTTTAGGCTGATATTAAAATAGCTTTATAAGAAAGTACAATAAAACTCCGCAATTCAAAACTGTCCATTTTATAAGTTGCTTTCTTTAACAAATTAAAGACCGTTACAAACGTGAGCAAACGAAAAAAATAAAATAATTCGTCTCTTAGTTCAAGAATGCTTAGTCAAATTTCAGTCTGGGGTATTTTTAATTATACTGTTTAAGTGTATAATGATTAGAAAAAGCATAACTTTAGCTGAGTAATTTTATTTATACTTATTTAGAAAATAAAATAAGTCTTTCTAAAATGGTAAAAATTTATCATCGTTCTCATATTGATGTTTATCAAAGATAATGATATAATTAAAAATAAAACGAGATCGTGAATTAAAGTTTATTGAGAAAGTTGTTTAATTTTTAATAGTTTTTCATATTAATAAATATTTTATCCATTAATTAACGTAAGAATCTTTTTATAAACAATAAAGTATATTGTTACATATACCTGTGTACAAGTAGCTTGTTTGGTTCTCAAATACATAAAGTTATAGAGAAAACTATATAAAATGTTTTTCGGATTTCCGTTTGTATATAAATAGAAAAATTCTTACAGAAATCACTTTCATTTGAAAATTTACCGGATTCTTTCCACGTGTATGTTCACACTTTTACTGGGGACCTAAAGTCCCGGATGTTGATGGAACTGGAAGTTTTCCGCAGTTCTTTGGACAACCTAATGTTCTGCTATAACCAAGAACGGTTTTATTTAGGTAAGATGTCTGTATCGTTCCGGTACATAGAAAATATATGATTAAAAACAGTTATCCAGATCTAATGCAATCGTTTGATTAAAATACATATCAGTTCCAATGCCAAATTAGTTTCATTCATTTGTATATCTAATTTTCATCCACTGGAAGTTAGACTAAATTTTTGCACTGCAAAAAGCAATTAAATGATAATCGTAATATTTTAACTAGGACAAGGCAAAAAAAGATGTTATGAAATAATGCTAGTCACCTGTCTCACGTAATTTGTATGCAAATAAGGCATCTTATAGTATTTTATATGTTTTGAAGTGCAAAGTATTGTGTGTATTAAATGAACATTTAGCAGAAACGGCTTTACGTCCTTATAGTTCATGACGTCTCACGTCAGTATGGAACATGGTCACCAATAACCTAAAAGAGATGTCAACAGGCAGTTTTAGTGTCTGGGGTCCTTTACAAGATACAAAGCGGCTCCCAAGAGCATTTTACATTTGCTTGGTAGAATTAAAAACCTGTGTCTGAACAAGTCATTTCATTCGGTCTATTCTCTTTTCGTCAAGGTAGACCAGTTTAACATTAGGTCTAAGTCAGGAACAGAATTTAGTAGGACAAAGGGTCTTAATATGTGGTCCCTGTAATATTTGGTATTAATGGAACCATTATCTAGTATGTAGAGGTTGATGCATCCATCTATGCTTAATTCTGCCTATACCAAACTCTCACCATCACCATATGCACCATGCTATTGAACGAAAGGATATTCTCTCCAAAAGTGGTATACGCTTATTATGTGGTCGCAGGGTAAGGTACAATCCATCTTATGTGTGCGAAAAATGTTTCACATAGTAAATATTAAAGCTTTTGATAAAGAAATCATCCAAGCAGTAAGAACAATAGATAATAACTTAGTGAAAGAAAATACTGGTGTTATATTTCATTTTCATGATATGAACTTCTTCTAATAAAAGAGGGTCTTAGAAACAAAGAAATAAGTACATTATGCAGATTAGTTTGTTTTTAATTTACTAGTCAACAAAACTCACCTATTTTATTCTAATTTAACAGTGAAAGGAAAGAGGGAAGGCAGCTAGTCACTACCGCCCACCGCCAACTTTTTTACCAACGAATAGTGGGATTGAGCGCCACGTTATAACGCCCTCATGGCTGAAAGGGGCGAGCATGTTTGGTGTAACGGGGATCTGAATCCGCGACCCTCAGATTAGGAGTCAAGTGCCCTAACCACCTGGCTATTCCGGGCCATATCAGCTGAAAGCAAGAAATACACCAATACTTAATGCTTGTGAATACGTTTGTTTGTTCTAGAATTTAAAAAAACCACACTAAACTATATGCTGTGTCCACTGCGGGGAACCGATCTCCAGATTTTAGGGTTGTAAATTCGTAAACTTACCGCTGTCCCACCGGAGGACACGTGGGAAAATGACTATTAAGTTTGTTAGGGAACTCGATGAAATTAGGAGCACTGAATTTGTTTTCACATAGTTGTTTAGATACGAGTAAACATAAAACACGTTTTTCGATGTCTACAATCGACGCAATTGAATTCTTAGCGATAAATATTCATAGTATAAATATTCTAGTTTGAGAAAAGTACAAGCGATTTTATTTTCTCCCTGTTTTGTTTCCTTTAGCGACCTACAAGAAAGCCATCAATGACCTGGAAGATAGAAACGAAATATGGCTGGAGCACTGTTAAAAGATATTTGGCCAACATGTCTAGCATATTGAAGACCGATACAGAGCTGACAAACTTCCACTTTAGTTAGCCTTAAACCCTGATAAGATAGTTTCACAGACTTTTTTAATAACAAGTAAAAGATAAGTTTAAACATTGCTACTTGGTAAATATATTTGTCACTATCCACTGTTAAAGGACTAGAGTATAAAAATATGTTACAAAATAAGACTGAGTATCATGTTTGAACTTGCAGACTATAGAATATTAACATGAAGTTTGGTGTATTGTTGACTCTCAGATTACACGAGATGAACATAAAGTCTGGTGCGTTATTTATTCTCATATATAGAAAATGAACATGACGTTTGGCGAAGTATTGATTATCAGATAATAAAATATCAACATGGAATTGTTGACTCATACACTTTACTTAAACATAATATGAAAATGTCGAGTAGTTTTGTGATGATCAAGAGGTGAGTTAAAAGTTTGCGACATGGGAGATTAGAAATAAATTGTTGCGAAAGAATAAAATGAACATGGACGGGAAAGAAAAAAATCAAAACTCTTTCCAAACAAAGACATAGTCCTTTTTTCCCCACAGAAATAGTTTTCATTTTTAAAATGTGGTTGTTTCTCAGTAATGGCAAAGACTCTGTGGCTGTTAGTACTGGGCAGAGAACAACTGAATATTTTCGTCAGACTAAAATCCTATTGTGGTATCCCGGAATCCTAATCTACGGTCATTTTCATAACATTCAAGAAAGATTAACACCTAACTTGTACTACTCTGTTAGAATATTTGTACCTCTTCTTAAACTGGGTATAATTCACATCCCAGTGAAGGTGCGATACAGAAACCTAACCAGGCAAGTTCAAGGTTTCACGAATGTCCACTGTAGTACGTTACCTTGGTTATAGGCAATAATTAGACAGGTGTTTGCAAGAACATCAACTACATAGAGAATACACGCACGATAATTTAGAATAATTTACCTGAATAGATATATTCTTCTTCTACATTTTAGAAGAGTAAAACATGGCATTTTCACTTGCTATAGCTTTTATTCTTTCAATTTAGGGTTCAAAGTGTTTGTGAATAATACTTAAAACCACAGTGAAATAAAAGACTTTTTGTATATAACCTAAATTATTCTTATTTTTTTTCCAGTTAATTACTATTCTTTATTAGTTTGATTATCCTTTGATAACATCATTCTAATATAAGGCAATATTATCTCAATTAATTTTCTGTAACTATCTTCTACTTTTAAAACTAGCTAGTTTTTCTTTTAGATTATACAGAGGGTTTAGTACGTTATATTAAAATGATTTTGAATATAAAAATCGACAAGTCATGTGATGGCCATATCGATATAAAGTTGCGACGCCATTTATCAGAATTACTTGTTGACAAAGTTTAGTGTTACGTAGGCAATGTTATATCACTGAAAATTGAGCCCTTTTGGGAAAGTTATGTAACAGCCCTTTATGACATAAAATATTCATACACTTAGATCATAAAGATGTGTTCAAATCAGGAATTTAGAATTTCCAAGACGGGAATATCCTTTGTGTATAAAGACACTAGAAAACAAAGGAATATGGACAAACTTGGGGACCCAGGACCACCTGACAAGAGATTTACAAGTTGAACCCCACTACGGTAACCAAAGTGTGGCGTCTTGTAACAGATCAGAATCCACAAAAACAAAGGTCAGTGGCAAAAGCAGTCCACGTGTTGCAGGGAAAAGTATGTAACATAAGCAAGAAGGCTCTCTGTCTAAAAAAGGAGGCCAACAGAAGGCTTCCAGTCATACCTCTCATTAACTACTTCTATAAACGTACTGTTGCCTTGTGTCAAAATGGCCAAAACCTTGGACAAAGGAATGGTGTTGAAAGATGATCTGGTCAAATGAGTTAACTTTTTTCTTTCTCTAATCAAACGGACATGTACACTGAGTGGTCACAAGTAAATAGACACCTAATTTTTT